ATATATATATATATATATATATATATATATATATATATATATAAAAAATAGACAATTACTAACGAGAGTGTTTATGTATAAATTACAGGTGAAAGGTCAACAAACGAAAAGTGGATGGAATTAAAAGCCTTGACTGTCCGGTTTATCAACAAAACTAGCCAGAAGGGAGGTCACAAAACAACCCAAAAGGGGAACAGAAGACGAAGAAGAAGGAGGAGGACAGCCTGCCACCTAAATAATCTATAACTTAGTGATACATACAACCTATAACCTGGAACCTGGAACACAACAAAGAAGCAAACAATATAACAATAACCTCGGAAGAATATTAACCAGAAGCCGTGAGTGTTGGCCCGGCGAACTGCTCCCGTGGTGCAAGGTGGCTCCGACAAGCGGAACTGGTTCCAAAAGATGTCGAGCACCGCGGAGAGTCCCGACGGTGGCATGGCACTCCAGTCGCATTACTCACTTAGGTGGAACAACCACCAGGCCCACATTCTCCAGTCCTTTGAGGCCCTTTTACATGCCGAGATTTTCGTCGATGTCACTCTCGTTTGTTCTGACAACAGTTTGCGTGCTCACAAAGTCGTCCTTAGTGCCTGCAGGTAATTATTATTAATAAAAATATTAAAACAACAAACTATGTGACTGCCGTGACTTGTGAACTATAGATAAATAAAATTTTGCTTTATTGAATGATGATTTCGGTTAAATTGCACTGTACTTTTTTAACTATTGACTTTTTTAAATTTATAAGCTCATCCCGATGTTACACTCATCAAGAGCTTTCATTTGAGTACCCACATGTATTTTTGATATATTTTTCATAAATACATATATATAATATATATAAATATATGAAATATATAAAAAATTGATGTGGGTACTCAAATGAAAGGTCTCGATGAGAGTAATCTCAGGATGAGTTCATATCTTTAAAAATAGCAATAGTTCACAAGATACAAGGTCATTTGTAATTATGTATTTTGAGAACTATTGACATTTTTAAAGATATAAGCTCATCCCGATGTTACACTCATCAAGAGCTTTCATTTGAGTACCCACATGCATTTTTGATATATTTTTCATATACATATATATCTTGATATATATATATTTCTTCTGTGCGTGTGTTTGTCACTGAATTCCTACTAAACGGCTGGACCGATTTTAATGAAATTTTTTGTATGTCTTCCGGTCGATTCCAGAATGGTTTAGATTCAAAATTCAGTCCACGGGAAAATGTTTATTTATTAGATTTTTTATTTATAAATTGTTGTTGACCTTGAGTACCCACATGCACTTTTCATATATTTTATAAATATCATATAATATATAAGATAGATGAAAAAATTCATGTGGGTACTCAAATGAAAGGTCTCGATGAGTGTAATGTCGAGATGAGTTTATTTCTTTAAACATATCATTAGTTGACAAGATACAATGTAATTTCTTAATTATTGACGTTTTTAAAAATATAAGCTCATCCCGATGTTACACTCATTGAGACCTTCCATTTGAGTACCCACATGCATTTTTCATATATTTTATATACTTCATAAATATCATATATATAAGATATATAAAAAAATTCATGTGGGTACTCAAATGAAAGATCTCGATGAGTATAAAATCAGAATGAGCTTATATTTACGAAACTGTTAATTATTGAGGAATGCCCATTGCATATTGTCAACTAATGATGTTTTTAACGATATAAGCTCATTCTGATGTTACACTCATCAAGAGCTTTCATTTGAGTACCCACATGCATTTTTGATATATTTTTCATATAAACATATATATAATATAGATAAATATATAAAATATATGAAAAATTGATGTGGGTGTTCAAATGAAAGATTTCTATGAGTGTAACATCGGAATGGGCTTATATCTTCATTTAAGTACCCACATTAATTTTTTCATCTACTTATATATATTCCATATATGTATATATAAAAAATATATCAAAATGCATGCGAGTACTCAAATAAAAGCTATTGATGAGTGTAACATCGGGAAGAGCTTATATCTTTAAAAATATCAATAGTTCACGAGATACAAAGTCATTTCTTAATTATGTATCTAGAGACAGAGCATTTTCAAATGCAGCCTAAATACTTATTATCATAAATTTATTATTTAACCAATTTAATTTAATTTATTTAACCATAAAAACCCATTTTATTATATAAATACTCTGGCCACAAAATTTTGATTATTCTCTTAATAATATAGATCATTTTTAAAAATTACTAAAGTTTCATTGTACATTTGTTAAATTAACAATAGTTTTAATCTTTAAAATTTTGCAATCATTTTTCAAAAATTAATTATTTTTTTTTAGTATTTATAAAAGTGTATTAATTCACCGCTTGACATTAGGAATTTTTTTTTTAAAGTCTACAAATTTTATAGTTAAAAGTAGAAAAAATTTTTATTTGCGCCTTTTTGGCTTTATAAATTTTGTTAGCATTAGTAATGTGAGACAAACTAGTACTTAAAAATTATTAAAAAAATTGAATCCTTTTTTTACTTAATTATTACATCAAAATTTTTAAGATCTTGCTTAATGATGCGACCAAATTTAAATAAATTAAATTCCAAAATAATTTTATTTTCTCGTAAACAATTAACATCTCACCACATTTATTTAAAAAGAAAACCACTCAAACTATCACAAACTTACGTTAAAACAAACTGTATTTAATATATCCTCCCAAATAAAACAAAAAGTTTCTCAACCAAACTCAAAACATCTTAACTTAAAAAACAACCCTCTAACCACAAACCACTAAAAATCTCTTCCCTGTATGTTTCAGCCCGTTCTTCGAGAGGATATTCGCGGAGCACCCGTGCAAGCACCCGGTGATAGTCCTAAAAGACTACAACTCCCGGGAGGTGGCAGCACTAATCGACTTCATGTACCGCGGAGAAGTGCGGGTAGGGCACGAAGACCTAGCAAACTTAATGCGAGCCGCAGAAACTTTGCACGTGCGCGGACTAGCCTCGTCAGAACCGCGACCAGTGTCTCCCCCAGCGACGCCAACAGCCGCAGAAACAAGCGACGAGCTCCTAGGTTCCGACCGACTGACCCCGGAACCGCTTCGGCAGTCGACGCCGCACGACGAGGAGTCCAGTTCTCCCCGCCTAGCATCTCGGGGGTTCCGGGAACGTGAACGGGAACGAGAACGAGAAAGGTTACCACACATGACCCACCTGAACTTCTCCTTGCGAGACTGCACCTCGCCGCTGCCCAGGCGGAAGCAGGCCCGGCCCAGAAGAAGGTCCGGGGAACTAATCCCCCAAGACCTGAGCAAGCCGCACCCCCCACCAAGCCCGAGTCCGCCCCTGAACTTCACCAGCCGGCACTCGCCGCAGAACTTCCAGCCGCTGCACCAACCTTCGGTGGCCCCCAATGAGGACATAGCCGAGAATTTATCGATGAAGCGGTCGGAACCTTCCCCTGTGGAGCAGATAAAAACGGAGAGCGAGCCAGCGAGCAGCCCCAGGTGCTCGCCCCTAACTGGAACCGGCCTCCAGCCCGACAGTTCCATCCACGACCTTCCTCCGTCGGGGATGACGGCTCTCTCCGCGCTGTCTTTAACGCCTCCCCACCACCAAAGCGAGTATTTGGCGAACCTGAGCCACCTGGCGGCTCACTGGGGGCCGGGTCCCCAGCAGGCGCAGCTCCCCCACCACCGAGAAGACAGTCCGCACGCGAACAGGCTCCACCCCTTTCAGGATTCAGCCTTGACTCCCAGACGGTCGGTCTTTCCCATGGACGGAACCTCCCTCTTTCCGCCCGGGGGCCTGGAACGGGGGCTCCTGCTCGCGGATTTGCACGACAGCTTCAAGCCTGAGGCCCTCCACGGCCTGTTCGGGGGCGCGAACCTCATCCACCACCCCACCAAGAAGTCCAAGAAGCACAGGGGCGAAGACGGCCCCCGCAGGTGGTCGGACCACACCAGAATGCCCCTGGGAAGGCCAAAGGGGCAGCACAGTGCCCCCCGTGGCGGCCCCCCGCGTTCCTGGACCAATGCGGAACTCACTGAGGCTCTCCAGCACGTGTGGAACAAGAAGATGACGACGTCTCAGGCCAGTAGGATCTTCGGAATTCCGTACAACAGTCTTCTGATGTACGTCAGGGGCAAGTACGGCAAAAGTTTGAAGCTGGAACAGCTGAGAAAAGACTGTACCGGCGGGGAAGTTATGAATTCGCTTAATAATAATGTCAAGGCTGTTCCTCCGCCCCAGATGAGCCACCCCCTGGGGCTCCCCCACCCCGACGACCAGTTCCCGACGCATTCGCTGCTCCATCAGGGGTTCTATCCGGATTTTGGTGCGGCTTTTCCTGTTCCGGTTAACATGGTTCATCTTCTGCCCCCCAGCGAGCAGAAGGCCTTCGAAGCCGCCGCGAACCCTGGCGCTGGGCCCTGTGAACTCACTCCTCCGAGCAGGTCGCCCTCTCCCGGTGCGGCGCTTATTCACGAGATTCCGCAGACGCCTCAGTCCGCTCCAGCGCTACTGCAGCAGAATGGGGAATGAGGGACGTGGAGCGACGGCTGGGAAGCTGGGTAGTCCCGTCCACGTGAGACTCTTTTGTAAAATTTTTATTTTTATTTAGTATTATTATGTATTGATGATAGGGTTATTATTGATAATGGTAATTATTGACGCGAGGACAACAAGTGTTGATTATTGTTGTTGTTGTTATTCATTATTTTGTTCTTTATGCGTACGGGGTTGGATTTTTGGGTTTGGGTTTTTTTATTGGAATTTAGGGGGTTTTTTTCTTTAATTTTTGTATCAGTAATTAATTTTTTTGAAGAAGAAGAAGAAGAATTGTAATTAATTAATTTTTATTGGAAAATTTTAATTAATTTGTATAAAAAAATTACTGCGGATTAAGTAATTGTATTTATTTGATTTTTTCGACAATTGTAATTAATTGTTTTTTTAAAATTGGTGAAATTTAATTTTTTGGGGAGTTTTTAATTTAATTCGAGGAAAAAATAATAAAATAAATAATAATAATCATAAAAAATGTTAACATGAATTTTAAAAAATTAATGAAAATTCGTTAAATATTTGGAAAATTTTTCTTATCAGATTTGTGAATTTTTTTGAAAAGTTTCAATGATTAATTTTGAGTTAATTAATAGAAAAATTAAGAGTAGTTTTTTTGAATATTTAAGTAATAATTGAAAAAAAAAAAATTATTTGAATATTTAAATTAAAACTAGAAAATTTGGGTAATAATTTGAATAATCAAAAAAAAAAAAAATTTTGAAGAATAATCAGTTAATTTTTAATTTTATAATCAATGAGAAAATTTAATTAGTATAATTTTGGAAAATTGGTAATTAAAAGAGTAAATTTTTGAAAATTAGATAAATTGAAAATATAGAATTAAAATGACATTGATATTTTGTATTTAAATTACTTTTTTAAAATAAAAAAATTAAAAAGAAAATCATTAAATATACTTTCTAAAAATGAAGCTTAAAATTTTTCAAAAAATTCAATTAGAAAAAAATTAATTTTTCGTATTTAAATTAATTTTTTAAAATAAAAATTAGAAAAAAAGAATTAATTATACATCCCAAAAAATTTTCCAAAAAAATGAATCAATATTTAAAATAAAATATAAAAAATTAATTTATAACAAAATTAATTTTTTTGATCTAAATTACTTTTTAAAAAAACAAAAATTAAAAAATCATAATTAAAATTTTCCAAAAAAATAAATTAATTTTAAAAAATAAGTTAAATTAAACCAAGATTTATTTTTTTGGGTTTAAATAATTGTTTAACAAGACAAAAATTAAAGAAAAAAATCACTAAATATTCTTATCAAAAAAATCTTTCAATTTTTCAAAAAAAACTACAAAAAAAAGTAATTAAAAAAAAAGTACAACCCCTTACGCGTATAAACAAACAAATAGAATATGTAATGTAAAAAAGATAAAGAAAAAAGAAAAAAAAACCGGCTGAAGAAGGCTAAAGTCAAAGAGTTTAAACCCGCGGGAAAAATGTCTCTTATTTAACATGAAATTATATTTAATTTTATTTCATATATATATATTTATATGATAATTTAACATGTTGCGTATTTATATACAATATTTTATTTATTTTATTTGAAATTATCTTTTTATATTTCGGATACGGTGCAAGGAGTCTTATCTGATGTTTGTAACAGAGTAAGAGCTCGGTTGTGTGTGTTGGATGTGCGTATAAACAGAAGCATAAAGGGATGAAACGAGAGTAAGGATAAGAATAAGAATAAGAATAAGAATAAGGGATGGTAACCGGAAGGAAAACAAGCGCCTCTTTTACCCGTCGTTCATCCTCTCTAATGTAAAGAGATCTCCTATATGCAGTGCAGTGCTTTAAATTGAAAGGGAACTTTTGAGACGACGGTTTTCCACCGAAATTACGGAATTCAACCTAGTGTGATATATATTATATATAAATATATATAAATGTGAGCAGGGTTCGTGCAAGGAAGTAGAGAGGACGTTTTTTTAGTTGCAAATATATTTATATAAATTTTTATTTATAAGTTGCTTTTTTTATCCGGCGAGGAAACGAGCGAAAAATGAAAAGAAAATGAGAAGAAAAAAAAACATGTTTAAGGGTGCCCGAAAAAAGCGAGGTTTTTAATATTTTACGCTGAAAATATCCAAGTTTTTCGTGTTTTAAGAGATATAAAAAATTGGCTAAAAAAAATTTAGGGGTTTAAATTTTTGAAAATTTTCAAAATAAAAAATTGAATTTTTTTAGGTTGAAAATTAAGAAATTTTTTAAAGAATAAATTGAAAAGTTTTTCATTTAATAAAAAATTGATTTTTATTTTTTATTTTTATCAAAATTTAAATGAATTTTATAAGAATTTTTTTAATTTGTTTTTTTTTTTGTAAAATAATTATAGAATTGTAAATTATTTATTAAAAAAATGATAAGGAATCTTTTTTGAGAGGAATTATATTTTCTATAAATAGGTCTGTTATAATTTTTTCGTATCTCCATTTACGTAAAATTTGAGATTTAAAGTCAAAAACAATATTTTATGATCGGAAGAAGAAATATTTCAATTCTAATTTCAAAATTTTGGCTCAAATATTAGAAATTCGGAAAAATAATAAGAGATTTCTTGTAAAAAAAATTTTTTCAATATAAAGAAGGTCTTTAATAAAATTTCAGTATCTTTTATAATTTACTCAAAATTTTCGATCCAAAATGGAAAATAATTTTCTCAAAATTAAAATATAGACAGTTTAATTTCAAAAATATTAATTAAATTTTGAAGATACGAAAAAATGATTACAAACCTTTTTTTTGTAGGAAATTTAATTCTCTTTAAATAAAGTCATTAATTTTTGCATATCTCTCATATTTTAGCCAGAATTTGATATCTAAAGTCAAAAACAATTTTTTGGAGCCAAAATTAAAATATAGAAAGATTAATTTTTAAATTTTTGATTAAATTTTGAAAAAACAAAAAAATTATAGCAAACCTTTTTTGTAAGAAATTTAATTCTTTTCAAATAAGGTCCATTAATTTTTCTACATCTCATATTTTAACCAAAATTTGATACCCAAAATAAAAACCAATTTTCTTAGCCAAAATTAAACAATATAAAGTTTAATTAAAAAAATTTTTTATTTAAATTTTGAAGATACAAAAAAAAAATACAAGACCTTTTTTGTAGGAAATTTAATTCTCAAAAAAGATTTTTATCAATTTTTCTATCTTTTATATTTTAATCAGAATTTGTTATTAAAAGTAAAAAACAATTTTTTTTTAGCCAAAATAAAAATCAAAATTTTCCCATCTTTTTATCTCTCTTAAAACACAATTCATATTTTAACTAAAAAAATTAAAAAATTCGCTTTTTTCATATCCTTTAAACAAGTTTTTTTTGTGTATAAAAAACCCGCACGGGAGAGTGCAATAATCTCGGATAAATTGCAATGTTTAATTTGTAAATACTAATTTAAAAATAATTTTATATAATTAAAATAAAAAAGTAAATTATTTTGTTGATTTTGGCGTGAGAAAATTTTTTCCAAAGAACGAGGGCTATTTAATTAACCAAATATATAAATACAGATTGTTTAAGAATTTTTAAAAATAACAAAAAAAAAATATTACGCTCGTATCGTAGAAAAAAAAAACAGTTTTGAAGACTAAATATTATAAAACAGTAAGATAATTAAATTTAAAAATAAAATATTTGGATAAAGCATTATTGTAACGATAGTTAAAATTAACAGTAATGAATAAATAAATAAAAAATAACTATTTCGAAAAACCAGACGGAAGCGCAGGGTAACTAACACATCAGGGATAGCCACAGACAAATCTACGATAGATAAATGTTGAGATAAAAAAACATATTAATTAAAGAAGAAATAAAAAATAGAAAAGTAACAAATGTAATTGATATAAATTATATAATACTTGATTGATAAAATATAAATAAAATAAAATAAATAATAAATAAAAAAAAAATGGAACTGAGAAGTTTGAGCGAATAGGTAGGAGGGGAGGGGGGTCTGCCGCAGGGACGCTAACCTTAAATTTATAAATATTGAATTGAAGTAACAGAAGATATTTAGAACGTCGCGTAATCGCACGTTAAATTGGATCCGTATAAAGACTTTATTAATTAACAGTGTGAATGGGTGTTATTTTTATCAAAAGAACTCAAATCGAACCTCGCCAATGGAGGTTATATATATTTCAATTTAAATATGTATAGATATATATATCTAAACAGGGTTATGTGTGTTTAAGTACCTAGAGTCTTTTAAACAAGTAACCGATCTAATGGGTTAGGTTTTTATTGTATGTGAGCGAATGGGTTAATAACAATAGACATGTGATAGGCACCACGTGCGACTTCAGTATTATTTTTCAGAACAAACGTAAATTTTAACGTACGCAATTGACAAAATATTTCAGCGTTCTCTTGAGGTTAGGTTTTCTTCGCTCGAAGGGATTTTGTTCTTTTTTTTGTTGAAAAGTTGAGAAGAAAGGAAGTTTTTTGTGCAATATTCAAAATTCATTATTTTTTGCGTCAAAATGGAGGATTTTAGTGCAATGTTTAAAAATATATAAATTTATGAATTTTTTTTGCGTAAATATGGCGGAAGTTTAAAACAAAATGGAAGTTTTTCAATTATTTGCAATATTTTTTAGTTAGATATTGAAATTCATGATTTTTATTGAAATTCTTTGATAAAAATGGAGGAAATTTTACAAAAAGTCGAAATTTTTTATTAATAAATTTTAATGAAAGAAAATTTGAGGTTTAAAAAAAAAAACTTATGATTTATTTGTTATTTTCTGGCTCGACTTCTGATGAAGAAATAGGAGGTAGAACATTTTTTTTTCGATGAAAATTAATTTAGTAGGTATTTAATAATTTTTGTAACAAATAAATTATGGCAAAAAAAATTAGAAAAAAAATTGACATTTTGTCATTTTAAAAAATTACAAATGCAATTTTTTAAAAACAATTTTTCTGAACAAATTT